CCCTCCAGTGGATCCAACTCCGTGCACGGAAAAGTCGTGGCGAGAAGTGGCAATGATTCGGCGTTAAACTTGTCAGTACTGGTCGAGTCGACGGGGCGAGGGAGGAGCATGGCTCGTGTCCCCAAATTAGCCATGTAGCCTGCGCGCGCTTACCCTGGTGCAGAGATCCATCATGCAAGCGCAGTGGAAGCAAGGCATTCATTCGGTTGGCGTGGTGAAGAAAACGTCCTTTTGCAGCATGACAAGCGTGATGATGGAGTTGGGCATGCAAACCGATGGAACCAGAGAAAGCAAATGTCAAGATTATGGTCTTCTATCCGTCTGTGGACAAGATCGCAGCAATGGGTTGGCCAGAGGAGTGGAGTGGAGTGGGCCAGCCTGTGGTAAAACGGGGACAGTGAGGGACGCTGAGAGGGACTACCATGTACACTGGTACACGCTAGACGCTGGTCGCTGGGAGATGGGAGAGGGGAAGACAAAGTACAGTACCTACCACTGAGAGAGTTCCGCCCCCTGGTCTGCTCGCAGCGAGAAAAAAAATTGATGGCAGGGGCCAGGGTCAATGTTCTGGCAGGGGCCTGTCGGGAGTGACTGCGCGTGGCAGCAACGTGACGAGGAACACCTTCTTCTCCTCCCCCCTTCACCCCACCTCACAGGAAGCACGAAAAGGCGGTCGCACAGCGTGGCTTACAGGGAAGTGAACGGAGCCCAGAGGGTGTTGGAAGGGGGGAGGAGGGGGCTAGGTGCTACATGTACAAGGAGGGGTGCACCTGGGGGGCAGTGAGGGTGGGTAGCATCCCTGGAGCCACGCGCCGATCTGTCTCTTTGCTGGTGGTGAGACGACGCAATTCTTTCCGCTCTCCACCTAATGCGTGATGACAGGGGGTTCTTGGCGAATGGGAGATGATTGTCATATTGCCCTTTCCCCCTCATGCTGCCTACCCTCCGCAGCTCTTCTGTGCCTGATGCCCACGCGCCATTGCCAGCCTGGAGGGTTGCGGGCAGGCAGGGAGGCAGGCAGGGGCCAAGGCAAAAGAGCGTGTCCGTCGCTTGCATTCACCCGTCAGTCTGTTTTGAGGTACATGTATGTCCCCCCCCCCTTCCCATCGATACATATCTGACAGATGTATGGATGTACCACGCTCGCAGAGGCGGTGTCGACCCAACAGGTGTGAGCATCTCCAAAGAGATGACGAAGAGCTACCTAGGCAACAATCGTGTCATCAGGCTGAAACAAGTTGTAGGGAAAGCTCCGTGTTCATTGATGATGTGTAGCACAAAGAGGCCCCGCCCAAGGAGCCGACGCGTCAGAGGGGGTGCAGAGCAAATTCCTTTTTGTAGCCCACATTGGCCACATGGCATTTCAGCACATCATGGCGGCCGGATGGGCTGTCACAAAAGGCACCCTCCTTCGCCAGCCTGTGTGATAAGTGATACTTTTACGTCTCATCACCGCCTATCAAACCCTCCCCCTCAGCAGCTGCCTGCCATCCGGAATGATGGAAGGCCCCATTGACGGATGTGCCAGGGTCAGCGCGTCAGCAATACGCAGCCAGAAAGCGCCGGGCTACCTAGGGTACCATACAGATACTTGATCAAAGGCCGTCCGAAGATCTCCCCTCTAGCCATCGCACACAGACTAGGTAGGCATGGTACATGAGCTGATGAGGTATGTAATGCTACCAGAACAAACCAACCGGTTGAAACACAAGGGCACATGGTCAAATATGTCCAGCAGGTGCGTGCCTTGGCTCGGTCGGTGCCAGCCATCGACAATGTCCCAAGGCCACTTGGGCCAACGGTCGAAGCGAGATGCCACTAATATTGAAATGGCCAGCATGAGCGCCAATGCCGGCTTCCAGATTGCCTTTTGAACCTTGTCTTGCCAACATCGAAGGCCTTGCCGACGCAGCCAAAGTTTCTAGTAATCCATGAGCTACGGCCTGCCAAGCGGCTACGTCAGCCGCCAGTGGCCAACCCTTCAATGTGCCGGCGCGCAATGTCATTGACAACTGTCCGAACCTATGGTCTTGCGAATCCCAAACCTACCTGCAGGGGACGATCTCGCAGCCAGTCGTAGGGCAGATGGGGGGGGGAATCGGGCAAAATGTCCGCTGTCACACCGGACAGCGCATATACCGGCCTCTACTTGCACTACAGCCCCATTGTTCTAGACTTGGCACCTGGATGACGGCCGCCATATATGTATGGGATGGGGAAAGGGGGGCGTGGCGATCGATGGGCATGCCCGCACCGTCGAAGACAACATGTCTGGGGCTCCGCCGACATGTCTGATCTGTGTGCTGCAGGCGTTGGGAGTGAAATCCCCTTCGGTGGTTGGACACAGAACGCCGCACGGCAAGCTCGCATGCTTTTCTGAAGGTCCAATGAAGCGCCCACAGAGAAGAATGTCCCGGGATTTTGGTAATCGTCTTAGTTTGGTTGGCTTCCGAGGGTAGCGGCACGCCTCTATATCATTGTCGTGCAAGAAAATCACAATTCTTCACGTCCCCCAACATGCGTATGCGGCACACACAAGCACATCCAGAGAGAGAGAGCGCTCGCGCCTTTCGGTCTCTCGGTCTCCGTGAGCCCTCCCGGGGGTGACGTAGCCGCTGTCGCAGAAACGAAGACGCGAGGGAGCGAAAGTGGATGAGAAAGTGGTCCCCAAGTGCTGACAAGTCAAAAGAGGGGGCCTACACGCAGATGAGCGACCTCGGCCATCGCGGCGGACAAAGAAGATCACTCAGCCATGCGGCCGTCTACCGACGATTGTCGGATCTAACCCTCCTCACCAGGAGGGCATGAGCGAATCTGATGGTTAGTTTTGCTATCTGAGAGCGTGGCGTCTGTTCTTTGACCACGTTTTGGGCTGTCAGGAAACAGACTACCTGTTGAGATTTGCGGCTACCTATGCTCTAGCTGCTGATTGACTGGGGCGGCTTTACCCAGGCCAGCCAAGGAACGAATACCCTAGCCTAGCAAAGTAGGGGACTGTCCCTCGTTTGCATCAGCGTCGCCGTGTAAAATTGGCCCTGCAGAATCCACACGGGACGAGAACACAATGGTCGCGTTCTACATGCGATTGAAAAGACCTCACAAAATGTGGCCCATCAGATAACCGGCGGTGTGGTCAGCGGGGAAAATATTAGGGGCCTTTCTTCCCTTGAGTCTTTATCGCTCAACTCCCGTATCTCGAAGCACAGTCCTGGTCTGCTTTGTTTGAATGCCGGCTTCCATGCTTCGACACGTGTTGCACGGGGGACCCCCTGCCCCAAGTTCGACATTGGGAGGAGGCTAGGTGCGGATGGGGGAGTGCTGGTGGATTCAAGGGGGGGTGCCTTGAGCAGGGGTCTGTCAGCAGGTGAATTGTCCATACAATTTCGTACCCCAATGTCACTTCTCCATAGATTTTGGGTGAGCAGATACCAAAATGGAAATAATAGACGGACAAGATGAAGGAGGACGGAAAGGGGAGGAAGAAGGGGGGGGGTTCTAATGACTCCTGGACTGCCGCCTAGTGCAAGCTGCCCCCCCGGTGCCTACCCTCAACCTTCGCATAGGACAACCCTCCGTCGCATGTACTTCGACCAAGTACCCGCAACTTACAGGGATCAGACCCGCTCAGGACCCAGGACCCACCCGTCCGCTCGTGGCCGTGGTGGACCTCAGGTGCGCAGGTGGGTGCATAGGCAAGTGCGCGCAAGTGCACCCACAGCGGCCTCGCATCGCTTCTCACCAGGTTTACCAGGTCAGGGAATACTCTAGTACCGAAATCCGACAGTCCAGGTCCTGGTCCAGGTCCGGGTCCAGTCCTGTGGAGGCACGGTACAACAAGGTAAGGCAAGGCAGGGTAACCTGGGAAAAAGGTGCTGCTTGCTGTTGCTAGAGCCCTGGCAGTCCACATGGTACATTAGCACCGTCGCTGCCTTTTCCCCCTCCGTCTTATTCCACCCGTTCTCTGAAGGGTCACGTTCTTTTTTATCTCGAAGAACCCCCCCTCTCCTTCCTCTGTTCTCGTTGCCGCCCCCTTCCACATACTCTTATTTTACTTCTCGTGCTCTCCGTTAGATGGCCGTCATCTCCCATTCCAACCGCTCCTCAATCCGAGATCAACTACCGCAGTCGATATCGACCTCACGATCTTCCACCAGAGTTGCTAGTCGCCGCTCTTCACTCGCCTCGCCTTCGGCTCCCTCCTCACCCGCCGTTGACCCTTTCTCCCACGAGGGCCAAGCCGCCTCCACCTCGACGGGCTACCGCCAGATCGGCCACTTCAGCTCTCCTTCCACGAGCAAGATCCAGCGATCCGGAGGCTTGCTCGGCCTTGCAGCTGCTGCAATCGACAAGACGCAGTCTGCGCTGTCCACCCTGCAGTCACAGTCACAGTCACAACCCGACTACTCCATACGTCAGCGTTCCTCCAATTCCGCTTTGGGCAGAGTCGCCTCCAGTGCCGATTCCGCTTTCAGCCCCACCGACTTGGACAAGAACGCACACGCACGATACCGAAGGTCCAACAACCATTCTCCCGCTTCTTCTTCGACAGGCACATTCGCCGCCGAGGGCAAACACCCGAGTCAGGTGTCGCTGGCCAACGAAGTGCCCTCCTCACCCTATTCCGACACTGATCCCAACCGCCCTCTTCAATCCGCATCCCAGCCGTCGAGAACAAGATGCACCAAACTTCTTCGCGGTTGCTCCGCATGACGGACGACGACAAGCCATTCACAAAGGTAGGCATCGCCAGCTGTTGCCCTTGTTCAATTGATGTGTGGTACTATTGTGCGCGAGAACGCATGTCTCGAAGGACAATCGACCTCGCCTCGTGTTGAGCATTCCGCCGCACTCAACCCCGCCATCCCCATGCCCCCTCTTCCCTGCCCTCTTCCACCCAGATCTTTCTTGTAAAAAGGCTCACACACCACATAGGATTTCAAAGATCTCTTCGCAACCCTTGTTGTCAGCCTACTGTCCCTATCTGCGCATCGCGTCCGCCTTACTCGGGTTGAGAACACTTTCCTCTCAGAAGATGCCATCAACAATCTTGGTTCCCTGAAATTCTCTCAGTCGAACCGCATGCCGGATCCGAAAGACCCCTCCCGCATCGTAACAACGACAACGACGACAACCTTTTCCATGGCCAAAGACATGGCTCGTTCTATTTGCCAAAGGTTCCTCGAGGCACGATTCATTGAATCCGCCGACGGAAAGTATCAGCAGGTCTACAACATGAAGGGCTCTGTCTGGCAACTGACGCCAAAAGGCGTCACTGTTCTCGATCGATTCTGCTCTCGCAACGGCATTCAGCAGAAGCAAACATCCGACCTTATCGGGTCTACCCTTTCACAGCTCGTTATTCTGGAGCGTGATGGCCAAACCGACAAGCTCATTACCGACCGTGGCACAGTCGAAGTTGTCTTCCGTCGATTCGTCGGCACACATGGTCCTAACATCAAGTCTAGCGTCACATCGGCAGATTCCGATTCGCTCAGTGACTACCGGGATGGCCTCACGGGTGTCAAGATGGCTAGCGAGCGTAAGATCAATGGCAAGACGTACCGCGACACCTTCACAGGCAAGGGTGCGACAGACTGGCTCATGGACTGCTGTACAACCGTGGACAGGAGGGAGGCTGTGGACATTGCGACGCTCTTTGTGCAGTGTGACCTGATGGAAGCAATCGTGCAAGACCGAGCACACATGTCGCAGTACGCCGGCCACAACGTCTTCCAGCCCACCAAGAATGCTATTTACCAGCTCACCGCCAAGGGCAAGGATCTGATTAACAACGTGGGCTCCAGGGGGCGAGCTTCTGAAAGCGAAGGTACCAACCCAAGCCGCAATGCGATCGCGCGCGACTCAAACACGCAGAGGCTGGACAAGATTCTTAACGACGCCGCACTCCGCTTGCTGTTCCGCGAGAACCTCAGGGAAACTCATTGTGAAGAGAATCTGTCGTTCTACCTTGACGTCGACGACTTCGTCAGGAGCTGCAAGGTCGCCATCCGTTCTGCTCAGAAGAACCCGAATTCCACTTCTATGGACGGGATCAAAGAAATCATGGCACAAGCTTATGGCATCTACAACGCCTTCCTAGCCCCAGGATCCCCCTGCGAGCTGAATATTGACCATCAGCTGCGCAACAACCTGGCAACTCGCATGACGAAGGCTGTTGGTCAAGACGTCGCCATGATAGACACGCTGCAAGAGGTTACGGCTCTGTTTGAAGACGCCCAGAACGCCGTCTTCAAGCTTATGGCTAGTGTGAGTCTTCGCCGCATCCTTATTCCAACGGAGCCATGTACTAACAATTGACCCTAGGATTCTGTGCCAAAGTTTCTTCGCAGTCCGAAGTACGAGCACACATTGAAGCACTACGACTTTGACTCCCTCACCAACATTCGCCCTGGCTTGGAGCGCAGCCAGAGTAGGTCGAACCGGCCATGACGAGAACAAAGAAAATGAAACAAATGCTCGACCGATACCCGATATTCTGTTGAATCTCACGCTCGCGACAAAAATAGGAGTTTCCATACTCCCCGCATTTTCCCCATGAAACCCTTTTGCATGAGGGCCGGCTCGACGCAATTGGCTATAATTGCTTCTCGCCCTCTGCCCCGGCGTTATTGGGGCCACTTATCTAATATCGTGCATATCTACGACGGATCGCGGCCACGATCCACAAGGGTCGGCCTGCTTCCCCGGACTGGTCCAATCTCCACTGCCATCTGGGTCTGATTTATATCTTGGAAACGGGGAGGGGCGTTCGAGGGATTGACCATCTTAGACACATCATGAATCGGTCGGAGATGTGGGTGGAGCATTGCTTTTCCCCGAAATCTTTGCATGCTCCTTTTTTATCTCCCCCCCCCCTGAGAGCGTTCCCACTCTCCGACATTGTACGCTCTTTCAATTCTGTCTTGGATTCCATTGGGTGGAGGACCGGCAGGAAATAGGAAGGGAGGATGCTCCCCTTCTCCTCGCATCGGGACGAATTAACGACGGCCACCAAATGACGGCCGATGGTATGAGGGAAGCAAAAAGTCTATCACGCACAACGCCCAACCTGCCAGCCCTTGTCTCTGTTCAACGACATGTGGAGGGAAACTTCAAATGTCGCCGACGAACAGGAAGGTGCGATACCGATTGGTCCGTTCGGAACAACCCACAAAGGCAGGCGATGTGATGGATGTATGGTTACTGAGGCAGATGAGGAATTTACTCCAGAACGCGTCTCGCGTTCCATGTGTACATATGCACTCGCACGCGTGCGCAGAGAGCATCATCAGATAACTTTGTGGCTCCGCCCTTCCTTTCGATAGAGCATTAGGGAGAATGGAAGAGGAGCACGGCATTCGCCAATTTACCAGCATGACCATGACATGTTTGGATTTTCAGCAGGCTTGTAGTATGCAGGATGGCGGCGTGTCCCTTGGCTTGAGATGTTCCAGCCATACCAGAACCATTGGACACAAGGTGTGAAGCACCGACCCATGGATGCCCTGTTTCCAGAGACAATGACGGAGGTTAGGCCACAAGACGAACCGAGCTGATTGTTTTTCGCAGTATCCTGGAATGCTGGTCTACTCGATCGGGCGCTCCCGCCATTCCTGCACCCCAACATCGGCCAAATAAGCGTTCGATGAGTTCGATGGCCGCTCAGTATTCAGCCGAAACGATGTCTCTGCGAGGGCCCGCCGCTGTGGTTGGCGCCCCTTGATGGATTCCTTCCTGTGTTGTTGTGCCTGAATCTGGGCAGCCCAGCCCTGCAGATGGTTGTGGTAGGTGTTCTGGAGCCGACACTGGTGAGGGTTTGTTTGTCGTCGTTCGTCCATAAATGTTGAGGCATCCTCGATGTTGTGCTTTTCCCCTTCTGCCTCATCATCCTCATCTCGCAATCAGTCACTCTTTTGACAGTCGCTCTTTAGCATTTTTGTTCGATCTTTTGCAACCAACCCCAGTCATTCTCTTGGACCCTCAGCAACCGCCCTCTCACCCAACACAACAGAGCAGCCTTATTCTTCAACGCCCCTTCCCGCTCGATTCGTCAAGATGTACACCAACACTGTCCTCAGCACCCTCGCCGCCGCCGGCATGGCCTCGGCCTACGTGCCTGCACGCCGCCAGGAGACCAACGGCACCGTCACGACCACCACGGTCACCGAGGTCGTCTCCGAGCTCGCCACCTGGTGCCCTGAGCCTACCAACTATGTCACCTGGGAGGAGAAGGTGTACACCGTCGAGGGCCCCACCTGGTTCACAATCACGGACTGCCCCTGCACTGTGACTCGCGTATGTCTCTCCCTTGGACCTGACGATCGCCTTGCGGCGTTATTGACATGATGATGACAGACCACCGAGTGCGCCGGAAAGCCCACCCCTCACCCCTGGACTCCTGAGCACCCCGGCCACGGCGGCCACTACCCCCACGGAGAGTGCCACGACGGTCACTACCCCGACGGCAAGCCTTGCCACGACGGCCACTACCCTCACGGTCACGGAGAGTGCCACGACGGCCACTACCCCGACGGCAAGCCTTGCCACGACGGTCACTTCCCTCACGGTCACGGAGAGTGCCACGATGGTCACTACCCCGACGGCCAGCCCTGCCACGGTCACGTCAAGCCCGTCCACCCTCACTACCCCGGCCACCACGAAGAGTGCCACGGCGGCAAGTACCCTGACGGCAGCCCCTGCGACGACGGTCACTACCCTCACGGAGAGTGCCACGACGGCCACTACCCTGACGGCAAGCCTTGCCACGACAACATGAAGCCGGTTCACCCCGAGTACCCTGCTGGCCCCGGCAAGTACCCCGGTCAGTGCCACGGCGGCAAGTACCCTGACGGCAACACCTGCCACGGCGAGCCCCGCTACCCCGACGGCTGCGTCGACAGCAAGTACCCCGATGGCCGTGAATGCCACCCGCTGTACCCCGTGTACCCTGCCGACTGCCACGAGGGCAAGTACGCCGACGGCCGTGAGTGCCACTCTGCCTACCCGGAGTACCCTGCCGAGTGCAAGTACGCTCTGTACCCCGACGGCAAGCCTTGCGAGCCCATCCACCCCGAGTACCCCGCCGAGTGCCACGGCGGCAAGTACCCCGACGGCCGCGACTGCCTGCCCGTCTACCCCAACGTTCCCCCCCACGGTCCTGAGGTTCCTGAGAAGCCCGTCTGCGACGGCCCCGACTGCGGCAAGCCCCAGCCCCCTCCCCACAACAACAAGCCCGTCTGCGACGGTCCCCACTGCGAGAACGACGGCAACAAGCCCGCCTGCTACGGCCCTGCCTGCGAGGCCAGCGCCACCCTCCCCCACGTCCCATACCCCACCGGCGACCACGTCGAGGTCAACGGCGCCGCCTCGCTCCAGCAGGGCCTGCTGTGCGCCGGCATGGCCATCGCCGCCGTTGCCACCGTCTTCGGCGCCGCCGGCTGCTAAAGCTCCTCCTTTCTTTCGGGGACGACTCTTGTTCTGTTCACTCTCCGGACAGAGCTGGTCAACGGACAAGGGAGCGGGAGGGTGTGGGAATGTTTTGTCTTCTTTCAACAAGAACGAAACGAACGAGAGAGCAAACACTTCCCCCCAGAAAAACACACGCGCCCACCCAACACACAACAACAACAACACAATCTATACTAACTGGAGGTCCCGGCCCCACATCGTCGCTGTCCGTTAGAGGTCCTGGCGGCGGGGAGCATCGGGAGGATGAAGTGGTTATTCCATTTGTCTCAACACCTGCATCCTGGTAATGAGTCTGTGGTCCTGGGGTCCTGGATTTTTCGGTGCTTGCAATTCTACGTCTGTCTCTTCCATCCCTGCCCCCTTTTGTCCCTTCCAGCACCTTTTCTGAAGGTGTGCCAAGGGGGAACAGGGGAGGGGGTAAAAGAGACTGGCCTGCTGTAATTCGAGCGGTGGTTCTGTTTCCACCCTTTCTGCATTTGCTATTCTGTTTTTTTCCCTGGCTAGATACTTGGCAGCAATTGACTTCGCACACGGTATCCCGGAAACATGAGCTCTCAGCCTGCGATCCAATGTGACCTTGCATGTGGTGAACAATCAGTGTTTGATGTTCAATCCCGCGTTCCATCCGACTCACCAAGCACGACAACCGTATCCGAACTATCACATAGTCTGATCGCATTGATCGATTCAAAGCTTTGTTCTAGGGACTTCTCGCTGACAGCCCGAACCCATCAGTCTCCCTTTCACTCGCCATTTCCCACACTTGTGATAGGCCACCGAAGCCTCCAATTTCAAGAGCGATACCGGGATGAGTCTGTACCCGACCAACGATTACATGATCGAACCCGTCTCAAGCCGAAAGATCACGATACCTGGCTGGGCTTCTTCTCACAGACGCTGATGGACCGGAGATGTCTCACAATAGATTTCCTACTACAGCTTAAGCAACGCTAAGGGGTATATATGTCATCTGACCATGTCAACGTCTCTCACTCCCCACAAACGGACATCCTCGTGATCCGAGCTCCTCCAGTTCGCCTCGATGTCACATCGCTTACCCTACAGCAGCCGTCTGGTGCTCGCGACGCGAATACTTATGCCACAGCTTCACGACTCCAGCTCGGCATATGCCTGATTCGCAGGCACCGTCTTCCTCGTCGTCCCTCCGGGTCGCAGCGCTGCCGGATGAGCGTGCTCCCACGACGCCTGCCCGCGCGGAGCGGTTGCGGGGCTCACCCCTTGTGCCTCGGTCGGCGTGGCGTTGGGTGTTGCCTCGTCCCAGGGCGTACGCATTGCCAAGTCCGAGTAGGCGTTGCTGGCAGGATACTCACGATCTGTCCCGGACAACTCAACAGGCTGCTGGTGGTTTTGCGCAGTCAATGACTGCCACGGTACGTCGCCCTTCGCGTCACGGTCGAAGAGCTGGCCGAGGTCGTGACCGACAGAGGCGTGTGACTGGTGGCGGATGCGCAAGGGTGAAGGATAGGCGCTGGGTGAGGTCGTGTCATTCGCCGTGCCGGGGGTTGAGTGTGCCGTCGAGCTTGCCACAGAGGGCGGGGCGGTCGTCTCGGGGGGCGTCGGAGGCTTCAAGTAGGACGGAATGTCGAGAGTAGGTGGGGACGGCGTTTTCCTGTGTCGAGGCGTCGAGTGAACAGAGGAGACGCTGTGCTGGCTCTCTGTCAACTGGTGGTTGTATACCGGCTTGGAGTAGCCGCCCGTCTGGGATTGCCATGACGTTTGATGACGGTGTTGCGGCTGCTGATGCTGCTGATGCTGGTACTGCCCCTGGACATGGCCGGCGTCTTCAACGGCGACGGCGCGGGCCTTCTCGGCGAGCTTGTCGACCAGCTGGCCATGACTCTTCTTAAGCGTCTTCTTGACAAACCCAGTCATGAGTACATTGCAGCGCATGTCGACGTCCTCGCGAAGGTAGAGGCCCTGGGAGGGGGCGTTGAGTCCCAGCTCACGCTTCTCGGGGGCCTCGCCGGGCAGAGTGCCGGCGACAGACCAGCGGTCGCGAATGTCGAGGCCCATGGGTGCGTAGCAGTGGGTCTGCAGGCCGGTGGGCAGGTCGTTGAAGGCGCAGGTATACGAGACGGCGGAGGAGGCGGCTGGAATTCCGGGGAGATAGGATATCTCGTCTGTCAGAGAGTACCAGACGCAGGCTTGTTCGTCGGCGGAGGCGTGCGGAGGCGGGGGGATCGGGTGGCGTTCCTTGATGAGAGGATTGAGATCAATCATCTCCAGGTGATTGTGGAGGAAGGCGAGCACCGCGTCGCGAGAAAGATCGGGGGGAAGCGGCGTGATAGTGGTGAATGTTGTGCGTTTGGCCATGGTGAAGGACGTGCTGGCTGGCTGTTTAATATTGCGTCGTGAGGTACCTATGTAAGGTCAGGGAGGTGAGGGTCAAGGTGAGATGGCTGAGCTGAAGAGTTGAGGAGCTGAGGAGCTGAGGAGCTGAAGAGCTGAAGGTGGGTGCGACAAGACGAGGAGGAGAGAAAGCGCTGGTGGTTGAGGCGGATGTAGCGGTAGAGTTCGTGTATCTCGTGAAGGAGTGGGGGCTGAGCAGCGCAGCTGAGGTGAGAGTTTGACTACCGCTGAGACGGTTGAGTGGCTCGGGGCGAGCAGGCAGGAGGGATGGAGGGAGGTATGACGACGTGCTGGACGTGAGAGCGTGACTGCTCCACAAAGACGAGGATTGGTAGGCCGGCCAAGGTCAGCGCTTCGGATGGCAGGCACAACTGAAACATGTGCTGGTCAATCAGAACGGCAGGAAGGACCAACCGCCTGCCCACCTGTTGTACTGTGCAATGCAACTACAAGAACACAGAAGAAGAGACGACCAGCAGGACCTCATCAATTGAGCCCAGATCGGGAATTGCCTAAATCGGCGTCATCTTGCATTCGAGATCAAGCCGCAGCCTCGACCAGGCCCCCCAAAATAGCAACAGTCTCGAGGGATACCCACTTTGCTTTCCGGACCCCCAGCCGGCTTTCCACGAGCGGCACAAGCACAGCCCACACAGCCAGCCTCCGAACCCTCCTGACAGCGAACTAACATCGGCAGAGTATTTTCCGGTAACCTGGGCGGCGCAGAGCCTCCCAGTCTTGGCGACCCTGTTGGTTGGTTGGTACACTTGTATTCGAGTCGTACACGGGAATCTAAATGGTACATCGTGGGTCGTGCATCAGATCGCCTTGCACCACCCTGTCAGCATCTGGCTGAGCTTCACGCCACCTGGAATCTCCTCGAGAGAAACATCGACCTTCCACATCCGCCCCTCGAGGCCCCCGTGCGTCCCTCCTCCAGATGCTTTGCCGCCGCCCAGGCTTGCGGGCAACAGCAAACCTAACGAGACGAGCCGCTCCCACGATACGCCTGCGACGCCACGACCCCAGACACGGACGCCGCCTCCGAGCGCCATCATGCCCGCGCCTGCCGATTGCACCCGGTGCCGGCCCATCAGCGAGCCATACTCATCATATGCCATGGCGAAATTGACCGTGTCCGTGTGTGCCACGATATCTAACCGTGCCGCCGCGATGAGCAGACCGAGGTCGAGGTCTGACAGCGCCGACAGTAGATGCAGCTTCGAGTTGGGGGCCGCGAGCCGGACCATTGTCGCTGATGCTGATGGAATCTCAAGGGCCAACTCGTCTACTGATAATGACGATAACGGTAGGATGCACTCCGTGAGGAACGCCGCTGCTGACTTGGTTGTGTAGTAGTGGTGCTGGAGGAGCGCCTTGAATGTTTTCTCCTCGTGCAGGTCCTGCTTTTGTCAGGGGTTGTGTCCCAAAATCAAAACCCATTGCGGGCACGCACCTTGACCATGTTGTTCCAGTTACGGTAGAACTCAACATGTCCCTGCACACCCTCGTCAATGCCTTCTGCCTTCATGTCCTCGTCGTCGACCGTCAGTCCCTGCCTGCAGACCTGCCAGTAGGACGTCTGATTCGCTGGCAGTGACAGATATACGTGCCGGTGGCTGAATCGGCTCTTCACTCGCTTCTCCAGCATCTCCACAACGTCCATCCGCGTCGTGCAGCCGAGCACTGCGATGGGCGCCTTGCGCGCCTGCGCTATGTCAAACAGATTGTACAGTAGCGTTTGACGCGCGTGAGACGCAAACATGTCAAACTCGTCAATGATGAAGATGACGGCCTTGGATGTGACCCCCTCCTCTGTCTGCGAGATCTCCGACGGATGGGAAAGGAGAGCTAGCAGAGACGCCATTGTGTCCGCGTAGTTTGACTGCTTCGGTCAGTGATCATAATGGTTTGTCTTGGTGGAAGCTTCATGTATTTACCTTCGCATTAACGTCATCGTCAACCTCCATCTCTTTACCCAACTGACGCCATATCTCCTTCAAAGCTAGCTTGTCATCTGTGTGGATGAAACCGTTGAGCCGGATGACATGAAACTCGCTCTTGTGACTGAGGGATAGTTCGGCAATGATGTTTTCCACAAGCTTCACTTCGTTAGCAGACGGAATCGAAAGCATGAAAATAAAAGACTAAACTTACCGTCGTCTTTCCGCAGCCCCTTGCACCAATCACAAGCATTGAGTTGCCCTCACCAGCCGAGACGGTCTGCTCAACGAGCTGATAGGCCTTCGTATACGCCTCGTCCTGGTTGATCAATTTGATGCGCCGCCGGCCCGCGCATCGGTCCAGCAGCACCCTCTGCAGCGAGCGAAGATGGTGCTCATAGTTGGGCAGCTGGGCGCCTGCCGCAGCCTTGGCCTGCTTCTTGTCGACGCACTCTTTGCAGAACCAGTCGCCCTCCGGAATGTCGTGGACGCCGTAGCATTTCTGATGGACAGCCTTGTCGCAGCCGTCGCAGAAAATAATCTCGTTGGGAGGTCTGGAGTTGCGCTTGTCGCATATCGAGCAGGCTGTATCTTCCTGCTCCTTCTCTTCTTCCTCTTCCTCCTCTACCCCCTCGGGCACTGGTTCCTCTTTCTTCTGTACCGGCTCATCTTGAACCTCATCCTCAACCTCGTCTCCGGATTCCAAGACAGGTTCGACTTGCCTAGGTGTCGACTTAACCGGCTTCGGGGTAGCCTTTGGGTATTTGGGCGGTCTTCCGCGAGGCCTCTTCTCCGACGACTTATTGGGCAAATCCTCAAAGAACACCGGCTCGCCCTTCTGACTTTGCGCAGCGCCAAACGCAACGCTCTTCCGGCGTTTGCCAGTATCCCCCGCACGCTTCGAGGGTGTCAGGATCCCCTTCAGCGGCACCGGCGCATCCCGCCTCAGGGGCTCGTGATGCCTCTGCGCGCTGGGCGTCGTGTTCAGCGCCGAGTTGGATCGCGACCGGCTCGCGGCGGGGCCACCGAGCTTGCGGGCGCTGGCCGTGTTGTCCTGCACTTTGGCCGTCGGGACTCTGCGCCGTCCGCTCGATCGAACGTGGATCGTTTCCTCTATATTCTCTGCCGTTCCCGGCGTCGCTTCGACCGGCTTCTCAATAGTTGCGGAGACTTCCTTGAGTGCTCGCGGTTTCGAGGCGCTGGTCTTCGCGGGTGCGGTGCCGTTGCGAGCTGTGCCGTTTGACCGGGGCGTCTTGCCTGGTGTATTCCTGGGCCGCGTGGGCGTCGGAGGAAATTCGTCCTCATTGTTGCCGTCTTCATCTGGGCTGTGCTCGCCCTTGTCTGACTCGGACACTTCGTAGGGGTCTTTGCGAGGCGTTGATGTCTTCTTTGCGCTACGGTTGGGCCCGGAGGGGAGTCGAGTTCGTGCTGGCGGCGGCGGCGCCTCACCGTCAGAGTCGGGTACGTCGTAAATGTCAGCCTCAGCCGTCTTGCTCGGGCGATGGCCATTGGTGTCGTGGAGGGATGTGCGCTTGGAGGTTGTCGATGTGCTCAGCTTTCGTCGCTTGGAAGCTGTGGCAGGCGCAGCATCGTCGTTGGTTCCCGAACGGGCTCGCTTGACGGGCTTCGAAGGCGCATCTTCGCTCATGGTCAATGTCGGCGACGGCCCGCGATGTTGTTACAGACGGTCTAGAGCAGCAATCCTGGTGGAGCGCAGATGGCATTTGGTCACAACATGACATTTCTGACAGGGAGCTGGGACCCCTTGCCGCTATGCTGTGGGGGATTCGTAGCGCCGAACGTCCTGGAGAGACGCGTTACACGCGTCGAGATTGAGATTACCTAAGCACATTGTCTAGTGCATCTTCACTTCGACTACCGTTTGAGCTTCAGGTGCCATTTCTGCTTTGTCTTGACGATTCAGGATTTCCATGTTGGCTTCATTTTACTCAAGGTCCAGAACCCCGCGACGATGGTTGCCACAGGACAGCCTAGCACAGCGCAGGGCAAACATCATGTGCCATCAACCGCACGCACTCAGTCGGACGCGCAGTTGCATTGACCAGAGGACGTCGTTGACCTTCAAGATGAAATATCTCCAATCTGGAGAACCGTTATCCAAGTAAACCCAACTGTCTCCATCCCCAGCGGTCACTGCTTAGCAACAGCGTCGAACAAAGTTGCCAGACCCATCACGAGTGCCCCTGTCGTGATGATGAAGCTTGCGACCGCCGCGCCAGTCTGTACGCTCGACTGAACATCCGCACCAAACTTGAGTACCGCAACCATGGGCCAAAACGCAGCAATAGCGATACTTATCACTGCAGGAACACCGACAACGTAGGAAACCGGATGCGCGTCCCACGCTACGACGAACCTCAGAGCCTGCTGAGGAGTATCCGAGATTGTCGGACGAAACACATGGTGTAGAAGCAACTGTTCCACGCGTCGTCTGTGTCCAGCAGGTATTTCGGCTACCATGCCGTCTTCGATCGCCCGGCAGATATTGGGGGACACGTCGAGCGTCGTTACATGGGCTCCTATGCTGACTCCATCCTTCACCTGAAAAATGCCGATCACACATCAGTCAGCTATTATGAACGATGACTTTGAAGTGTCAACCGACATCGCACTTCGGGTGCATGCCCGCCCGGATTTTACTTCATGTCCTGCGGCTCCGACCATGCAGGCAAGATCTGACTGTACCCAAGATAACCCTTCAGAGGGTGATTGGTGTGCAGGACGTACCTGCACGACTTCGATCCTCTTGAGTGACTTAGGGAGCAAAGCCTGTAACAGCCCATCGTGTATCCTCGACATGCGATAAAAAATCGACAAATGCTTGAAGACCCATGCGTCGTCCACTTCCGGTGCGTCAAACGCCGGACAGGGCAGAAGGACGTTGTCTGATCGGTCGAAGAAGACAGAGATGTGATGCTCGGAATGTTGGAGCCTCCAAGCTTCCAAGTAGTTCAGCGCAAAATTCGTTTTGGGAATCGCAAAGGTGAAGTACGCTGTCCAGTATATCCGCCAGGGTGACAGTCGCGGCACCCTGTCTTCAAGCCTTGCCGCCAGCCGTAGGAGGAATGCCGACTAGGTATCAGCTAGATGTGAGCGCTGCTCTAGAGTATTTGAACACAGCTGTATGTAATCATGACTACTCACTTCAAATATGGTGTTGTGTACCCAATGCAGAATGATCGATGTCGGTGCTATTCGTGCGACGTAAATTTGCAGGATTGAGCTTGCGCTGAGCAACACGAAGTCAATGACAAGTAAATAGTATAAATACACACCCATGAATAACAGGTTCGCATAGGTGGTACATAGTGTGATGAGCAACGTCATGGAACGCCAATATGGAAATGGAAACCAAATGTAAGGGTGCGGAATCAGGCGTGGAACTCCTTTGGCCACAAAGGCATCAGAAGAAAACCCATGAGGCTCTACGTCTTCGATAGTGGCTAGCGCCTCCAGGCGGGTGACCAACATTTCTCGCAGAGCAGCAAGACCTCTGCGTCCGCGAGATGGCACATGGTCCACGGCAATACCTTGCTCTGCGGCGCTCATGGCTGTTGATGTGAGGAAATGAAGAACGCGGTTAGGGCGGGAGGCGATGGGGATGTTTCGAAGACCGGTAGTGGCGGAAACTGGTATGAAAGAGTAACCGAATCACACGATTCATTAGTGCGGATATCGCAGCAGGCTGCGCAGAACAACGATTGTTCAGCTGCGTGGGCAAGGCTGGTGGCGTTTTCGAGCAGGCTTCACTTTCAGGCATGTGTGCAGGTGCAGGTGCAGGTGCAGGATAAGCGCTCACATGCTTCAGCTGAATTGACGATCATGAGACAAAATCGTCTCGACGAGGGTGGCTTTGTCGATCATGCACATGGCAAGGTTGTGAATCGATAGGCTGCACATTGTGTGTGTTTGGTTTGAAGATGTTGCTTGGCGCAACTCAGCAAACACCTCCTTCAGATCTCTGGCCCTTCGTGGCAGAGCAATGACACGCGACATTACCATACCACAAAGACGGACTTTTGGTACTGTAAGTCGAGCTTGACGTCTTCATGGTAGCGTATCGCAATACTACGTAATTGCCCCAAGCCAGACTGTTGGATGTGTGTACCCCAAGGCAAGGCTCTGGGCCCTGCTTGCATTGAACGACCCATCCATAGTATCGGGGAATCACTTTGGCGCTGAGCTACGAAGTGAAGCTGAGCCGCAATTCCGCGCACTTTCTCCAACCCCGAGGACGGCAATGATACCATGCAGGGCCCAGCATCAGTCAATAGCGTTCGTTTTTCAGAATGGTGTGGTAGCACAAACCAAGCACATCACAGAGCTGGTCTGCTGTAACTAACTCGGCTTCCAATGCCCAGGAATCACGTCGCCTTATCAGCTCGGTAATCCACTACGGCATACTGCTCACACACCACCATGGGAGAAGAGGGAGGCCAGTTTGAGTCAGCCGTCAACCCATTCCGGCCTAGAATCCAGACGAGGGAGCGAGGATGATCCGTCTTCACAGCACTTGGTGGGTGGATCACTGTCGAGTTGGTGTGATCGCGTTCGCGATTCTGCAGTTGTCTCCGTTGCGGATAGGCCGCGAGAAGCAGGGTTCGGGTCGGTGGCCGAGCGGGCACGCCATGTCTATTTTCTTCATGCACTTTGATCGCATCCTAAATATCCATCGAGGGTCCGGGCCTGAATGAGACTACCGAGCTCGTTGCCGGATGCTGATGAGAGCTCGCAGGGTAGAGCAAAGACCTGGAAAAGTGTGTGTGGGTGGTGTTGTAGTGAGTAGGTAAGGCAGGCAGGTATGTCATCCGAGAATAATCACGATCAAAGTCGCACAAAGCTCGAGCTGAGGCTGCCGATCTTGGTCACCCTCTTGGTCTTCGGGGGCTGAACTTTGGACTGGCCCGTCATGGGTTCCATATCACCCCTCCATGTGCCTCGGATGCTTGCTTGCTGGTGTTCTGCGACGCTTGAATTATCCTGACCCAAAGCTTGTTTCGACAGCAGCGGCATCGCAAGAGGAAGCGCGATACCATGGCTGACAAGGACGGACTGCAATACAAGCCGCTCAACGTGAAGCTTCACTTACTGAAAAGCCCTCTCAAGGAGGACGACGCCAGCTCGGACACCTTGTCAGTCGGGCTGCAAACCCTCATCCCAACAGTTGTCAAACCTTGGAGTTACCGGTATCAGCTGAAAGAGGAGCCTGTTTTTTCGAGAAACAATGAAGCGACAAACTTGGAAGTGTTTTACGACCTGTTTCTGGCTGTAAGTGGCCACCTCTTGAAATGGACTTCTGTTACTGACGGCACACGACATAGGCTGTGAGCCCTGTCTTTCCAGTGTCGACGATCCTACACGGCTACTGATGCAAACGTTGAAGTGCTTGAACTTGTTCAACAAAAATCAACAAGTCACGAGCTTACGAGGCCTAGTCGCATACGCCGGCTTCTTCTCGTACGTTGACCGCGCCACGGCTTCACCCTCACGTTGCTTACATGGTTCACCCGTACAGCCTGATGTGGACGACCTGGTTCCAGACCGGTTGTTTCGACGTTCGCTTCATCACAGATAGCGTCTTGAACGATGCGCCAGGGCAGTTCATCTGGGCGTCCTGGTTGGTTTCGCTGTTGTTTCGCCCAACTTTGACCCCAGCGAGCAGGATCCGCAGGTGTTCAAGACGTTTTGTATGTTTGAACAATGACAACCTCTCCTCCTGCGTGTCTGACAGGCCGCAGCGTTCATCCTGATGGTGTCCAGGCTGTGTCTGGCGCTCGAGTACGGCATGGTCCTTCTCCATGTCCGTCACTACACCAAAGCAAGAGTTCCGCTGCTTGTTCTGGTGGTCTCCAGCTCAGTGGCCGCATTTATTTACTTTGGACTTGCGTTCCTTTTCGACAGAGCGCATAGTAGCATCTTTTACATGTGGTACGGTATTGCATTTTTCGAAGTGGCCTCAAATGCCGTGCTCTCGACCTTCTACTCGATCCTGAGCTTCCAGGACACACACCTCATTCGTCGCATCAGTCTTCTCACCCTCATCATTTTTGGCGAGGGTGTTGCTATTGCATGCGACTCGGTCACCTCTGTTGTCGAGAGTGGGCACAATGCCTGGAGTGCGTCTCGTCTACCACGGATGACTCCGTATTCCATTAGAGCCCAGCTGACGAGTGGTGCAGCCCCCAAGACGATTGGCGTCGTGACTGCGGCTGTCAGCACTATTTACCTCGTCTTCATGGTCTACTTTGACTGGATGTGTCGATTCCATCTCCCGCGATGGCGGCAGCTGGCTTGGACGCTGCTGCATTTCCCGCTTCACTTGTGCATGACTCTTTTCATGGAGGGCGCCGCCCAATTCATCGTGGTTTGGAAGATTGCAGAGGGTGAATTGAGCCTGCTGACGGGCTTCAACCACATGGTCAAGACCTCGGCGGTTGTCGAGTTAACAGACAGCCTGTGGAATTTCACCAGCAACTTTACGAAACAGTACCCAGTCACGCACTGCTGGTCACAGATCGCCATCAATTCATCTTTCGATGCCATGCGTGACATTGACCTCGTACAGCTCCAGGAGCATCTGCAGACCGCAAGCCAGGAAGAGATTGACACGGATCCAAACCTTGCGGCATGGGGCCAGGCCGCGGCGGAAGTAATCCGAACGCTCGACAATCTTCTTCTCCAGGCATTCGACATTGACTTTACGAAAGAAGCGACCAGAGAACACGCGGGAATCAAGGCGCGATACATTGGCGACACGACAGCGCTGAACATGGAGGTGGGGAAACGCGCATCCAAGCGGTTCCGCACTCTCTTCCAGTACACCTTTGTGTGCGCCGGCGCCTTTCTCGCGCTGTCCAACGTCCTCTACTGCATCGCGTACATGGGGCGATGGACCCGTTGGGCCAAGGTGAGGGTGACGCTCAACTTTGTCATCGCGGCGGGCATCGCCCTCGTGGCGTGTGTGTCGCAAGACGCGGAGTACTTCAACAACTACAACAAGAAACCGTTCGTCTTGATGACGATGCTCATGCCGTACGTTGTCGTCCTCGTGCTGAACCATCTGCCGCACTCTCTGTCCGTGTTTGGGCTGCCGGGGTTCCCCTGGTGGAAGCGGCTGGGCAGAGATGTCGAGGTGACGCCGCCGATGGAGCTGATTCAGACTACCCATTATGACCCCCGCGAGCACTTTTTGGGGCCGCCCGACTCGGTCGTCGTCCTGGGCCAGCCGTACGCCGTGCCGCAGCAGCCGCGGTCGGTGTCGGCGGCACAGGGGCCGTACGAGGCTGTGGAGCAGACTGAAGAGGATGAGCAGTTCTACCGGGGGTATCGGCAGGAGCAGTAGTAGCAGCAGCAATAGACGGAGAACTGGAGTTTTCTGGTAGGAAGGCAGTGGTGAAGGCAGGGTAAGCTGAAAGGTGTGGACGGTAAGGTCAGCATGCTTGTCTCTACTTCAAGTATCGTTTGCTTTCTTTCTTTCCTTTTTTCCCTTTTTTCCCTTTTTTCCCTTTATTTCCTTTTCTAAAATATATGTATAATTTCGAATCTGGCAGGATGTTTCTTGCAGAATAGGATTCCTGCGCCATAACGAATTCCGTGTACATGTTAGCAAGAATCAGGAATCAAGAATCAAGAACCAATCCATGGCCCAACCGTGACATGTCCGTTTTGGCGGGGTTCCGTTTGTCGAGACGGTGCCCTATGAAAACGGTCACTGCTCGTGGGGTAGTT